CGGGTTTGTGGCCTATGTGACCTGGAGAACAAAGCCATAGCCCTATAGAACAGCAATTTCAAACTTCAGCTTGCATCAGGCTTACTTAGAAGCTTTATTAACAACAGATTGTTTAGGCCTGGGTAAACCACTATAGCTCAGTGGTAAACTACTTGCCCAGCATGCACTGTGCTCTGAGTTCCATCCCCAGCGTTGAACTACATCGAAAACCCCCAACAGGTTGTTTGACCTCCACTCCCAGACTTTCTGATCTCCCAGTTTCCATGTGAAGCTGATGCTGCCGAACAGAAAGGACCATGCTTTGATGAGTTCCATGGCTTTAGAATTTCTGTGAATTTGGCCAATGTCATCTGTGCAGAGTATGTTTTATGATTATTTGGGGCAGGGAGTAAACAGGAGCACAGGCAGCTGTGCCAAGCGCACCCTAGGCCTGCAGGCCCTGTGCTAGGGCTGGGCAGCACAGTGAAGTGCTAGACAGGTTCCTGCTGCAGGGCTTAGTGCCTGATGGGTCTGTCATGTGCCCTCCCACCTGGAGGAACAAAGAACAGCTCAATATGAGACCCAAAACAGTGCCTGATGTTTTGTTTTGTTCTGTTTTGTTATTTGAGCCAGGGTCTCGCTATGAGTCCTATCTTTTTTTTTTTTTTTGATACCAGGGATTGAACTTGGGTCCTTGTGCTTTGGAGGCAGGCACCAGAACCACTGAGATAAATCCTTGGCCCTGGCTTTGAACTCTTCATGACCACGCCAGGTCCCTTGCCCGATTTTCACTTTCTGTCTGCTTTTTCTTAACTCTTCCCATTTCACGCCAGTTGCAAAAGCCATCCTGATTCCTCACTCTGTCTTCACATCCAACCTCACAAGGTCCATATCTCCGCCCCCGCCAAAGATCTCAGCTCTGCCTGCCGGAGCCATCTCTGTGCAGGAGTCTCCGGCCTCCATCCTCCGTCTCCTGTCTGCCTTCTGAGGGGCAGCCAGAGCAATCTTTTTCAGATGTATCATATTGTTCTCTGCAGACTCCTTCCATGTCTTCCTATCTGTTGCACTTTAAAAATTCCAGGAGCTAGGCATGGGGGTGCACTCCTATAACTGCATTGCTCTGGGAGGCTGAGGCAGAAGGGTCAAAAGTTGGAGCTCAACCTGGGCAATTAGTAACTCAGTGAGATTCTGTCTCAAAGTAAAAAATACAAAAACAGGCTGGGATGTAGCTGAGCGTAAACACGGGAGATCAACCCCCAGTACTGCAAAAAAAGAAAAAAAAATTCAAGAATTTCTGGACATAGTGGTACATACCTGTAATCTCAGCTACTTGGGAGGTTGAGGTAGGAGGTTCACATGTTAGAGATCAGCCTAGGCGATTTCCTGAGATCCTGCCTCAAGATTTGAAAAAAAAAAAGCCATTGAGTTTATAGCACAGTGGCAGAGCACCCCTGGGTTCTGTCCCCCGGACTGCAAAAAAAAAAAAAAAAATTTTAGGGGCTGGGAAGAGCATGTCCTTTGCATGCACGGTGCCCTGGGTTCCATTTCCAGCACTGCCAAAATCCTGCCCTGGCTTCCAGGCCCTGGCTGACTGGGCTGTGCCCACCTATCCTACTCTCTTCCCGATCTGCTCTCCCTTCCTGCTAGAGGCACTGGCCCTCTTGCCTGTCCCACTCCAGGACCTTTGCACCACACCAAGTTCCTTCTTAGATCTTCCCTTGGTCCACAGATCCCTATCCCTGTGCTCTCAAATGCCTTCCCTGATCCCGCTGTCCAAGCACTGCCCCATTGCAGCTCTTCTCCATTCTTGTTTGCTTGTGTTTATCTGTTGCTAGCATGTACTGTTCCTTGAAATTACCCATTCATTGACGGTTTGCTGGTTTCCTGTCTGTCTCCCCACACTAGCACTCCAGAAGCGGAGAGAGACTCCGGGGACCTGGAATTCTACCTGCCCACAGCTCCTGCTCAGGAAACACCTGCTGTGTGCGTGGGGTCACACAGGATCCACCAAGGGGTGTGTCCCCTGCACATGACATCAGCTACGATGTCCCAGAGGAAGTTACACTAAAGCTTCGGAGCCTGGAGGGCAGGAATTTTCCTGGAAGCAAGAGACCAGCCCAGACACAGGGACCAGGGAACAACAACAAAGCAGGACAGAGGAAGGCTTTGAAACATGGAGTGTTCTGGAAGCTGGAGACTGTCTAGTGTGGCCAGGGCAGAAGGTGAGTGGGGTGGGATCAGAGGAGCGGATGTCAAGAGCAGGCTGCAGGGGGCCTGGCTGCCCCCGGAGGGCCTGGCGCTGTGTGCTGAGTGCCGGGAGTGTCCAGGGAGAGAGCTAGGTGGTGGTGGCAGCAGCAGTGTTCCGTGCACGGTCCTGATGCTGGGGCGGGGCACCAAGGAGAGAGGGGCCCATGCATACACAGGAGCTGCTAGGAGGCCAAGCAGGCGATGCAGGTGGGGTTCTGCTCTGGACTGGTACCCTGTGGGTCAAGCTTCTAGCAGAGGGAGCAGCCCATGCAGTCACCGCAGAGGGGAGGCTGTGGCTGCCTCTTGGAAGTGTCTCCCAGGGGAGCAGCTGGAGGATGCAGGTCCCAGCAGGAGCCGCCTTGCCCTGGGTCAACAGTGAACAGACGCAAAAGGGAGGAGGTCCAGATTCTCTGTTCAGAAGCTTAGAGGGAGAGACAGGGCAGCAGGCCGGCTGCCAGGATGCCTCCATGTTTTCTTAGTTTCAGTTGGGGGAGATACAAGTCCTTTGGGCTTGGGAAAGAAGGATCCAGAAGAGAGTGGGGCTGGAAATACAAGGAGGGCAAGGGGGCGCATGGAGGCCCATGCTGTTCTGTTGGTGGGGCCTCTGCTTCGAACAGGCAGGATGAGGAGAAGCTGGCTTGGTGCCTTCGGGGAAGAGAGTTTAGGGTCGGAAATGAGAGTTCCAGGAGATGCTGTCTACCTTCTCCAGAAAGTGCCAGGAGACACTGTGGCATGGAGGGGATGAGCTGGGGGCTCAGGAAGACCAGGGCATTTCAAACTCAGGAGAGGGGCAGGGCGCACAGGAAACAGGGCCAAGCGACTGGACCAAGCCTGGCTGAGGTTGAAGATGAGGTCTCCAACCTGCCAGAACACAAAGTGGCTATCAGGGTTTTCCAGGCAGGGGCAGGGGAGGACCGAGGGAAGGGAGCAGTATTGGAGTGGGGAGAGGACTCCGAGCCAGCAGGAGCCCTCTTCTTCATTCATTTGGGCTGCTGTAACAAATACCGTAGACTGGGCATGTTTTGTTTATTTATTTTGGCGTTTTGAGACGGGTTGAGCCATATAGTTCAAGCTGACCTTTAACTCACTATATAGCCCACGCTGACCTTGAACTTGCAGTGATCCTCCTGCCTCAGCCTCCTGAGTGCTGGGATTACAGACATGTGCCACCATGCTGGTTTACTGTTATTTAAATTTTTATTTATTTTATGTTTAATTCTTTTTCAATGCTGGGACTTGAGCCTAGGGACTGAGGCATGCTAGGTGTCAGGCCTTTTTTAGAAGGGAACTAATCTTCTTCATGGCTTAATCATCTCTCAGAGGCCTCTCAGGACTGACACTGATGCTTAAGTCTGTTTATGAAAGTCAGGGTCACAACGTTCGGACCACAGCACCCCATGACCAACAGTGGCCAGAGGCTCTGGGATGGCTCTGGACCTTGTGAGGAGGTGGCTATCACTTGGATTTAGAAAGGGAACCTGGGGGCTGGGGATTTAGCTCAGTGGTTTCGCCGCCTGCTGCGCAAGCGCAAGGACCTGAGTTCAATCCCTGGTACCAAAAAAAAAAAAAGAAAGGGAATCTGGTCCTGGGATGGCCTGGCTTCCTGCAGAGGCTGCCTGCCAGGGAGCGGCCTCCGCACCTCCATGGACTCTGGGCTCCTCTCCTCTCGTTGCAGGGCTACTGGCCAGCAGCTGTGACAGAGCCTGGTGGAGGCTGTGGGGCCAGGTTGGAGTGCAGGACTCCTGGGCTGAACGCGTCCTCACGCCGCCCTCACCAGGTAAGGCCGTCCTTGCCTGGTCCCACTCCCTGGCCCTGCAAAGAGGCTGGAGGGTCACGTAGATCTTCCAGGTCGGGGAAAGGTGAGTGAGCGTTGGCGGCTCTCTCTGCTGCAGCTCCAGGCAGACAGAAGCTTCCGGTGCATTCTCCTGAGGAGTCCCGGCAGACTCTCCCGTTAGTGGTGTCCTTGCCCCGTTGTACCAGTGAGGACCTGAGGCTCAGCGAAGGCATCCTATCTGAGGTCAGCACCAGATACCTAGCTAGGACCCACTCCAGACGCCTCCAGGGCCTCGCGTTTTCTGTCCCTGTCCTAAGGGAGCCTAGCAGGGCCCTGCCCCCGGGGAGGCCTGTCCCCTGCTCTGTGGCTGTGTCCCCAAATCCTACACTCAGTCTGAGGAGGCTTTGCTCCCTTAAAGGGCCGGAGCAGTCCTGGTGCCGGTGACCGAGTCGAGGACGGGGACGCGCGGGGACGCCAGGCTTAGAGCGCCGAGGGCTAGCGTGCCGTCGCCCCGGGCCCAGCAGGGACTTCCCCTTCGGCCCACTCGTCTCTCCCGCCGTCTGCGAAGTTGCCATCTGAGTCCGCCAGAGGGCGTCCTGGGCAGTGGACAGGGTGGGTGCAGGGCTTCCGGGACGGCAGCGCCCAGAGGGTCCCTCCACGCAGGGTCTGCAGCTGCAGTCCCCGCGTCGCCTGCACGGTCAGGAATCGGGATCAGGAGAGGCAGGATTCCGGCGGCTGAGCTGTCAGGGTGCGAGGAGTCGATGTTCTCCGATGCCTTCAACCCGGACCCCGCCTCTCCCCTTCCTCCCTCCCGCACCGGGGGGGTAGAAGAGCGGGTACTCGCGGGCACGCGCAAGGGGAGCCGATGCCCACCGCGCAGGGGGCCTGCCCCGCCCCCTCGGCCCGCCGCAGCCCCGCCCTCCCCGCCGGGGCTCCGCCCCCTCCCCCCGCCGAGGCCCGAGCCCGGGGGGCCGCAGCCGCCCCGCGCCAGCCATGCGCTCCGCCTCGGTGTTCGCGCTGTTGCTCTTGCTGGGGCCGCAGTTTCGAGCTTCAGGGGTCGCTGAGCCGCTGCTGCCCTCCGTGGTCTTGGCCATCCTGGCTCGCAATGCCGAGCACTCTCTGCCCCACTACCTGGGCGCGTTGGAGCGGCTGGACTACCCCCGGGCCAGGCTGGCCCTTTGGTGAGCTACCCGGATGTGGGGACCCTCTGGGCATGCAGCCCTCAGCCTCGCGGGCTACCCTGTGGCTCCCTCTCCGACGCATCCCGACAGGGCCCTCCCCTCCCAGACGGGCCCTCTGCCACCCCAAGCCCAAGACAGGATCCTGTCCCCGGGGGGTGGGCCAAGGACAGACGGCTAAGCCCACAGATTCTACTCGGGACCCCCCCCCCTTCCGGCCCTCAACAGCTCCTCTTGGGCCTCCCTTGGGGCCAGTCGGGCCCAGACCTTCTTGCCCCAGCCCTCATCCCAGACGGAACCCAGGGGACCCGTGGTTGGCTGTACTTGAAATGGAGCAGACTGGACGCTCTTGGGTCCCCAGGGGCCGCGCGTGGCAGGGATACCAGACTGGAAGTTCCTGGGAAGCAGGTGGGGGCGTCTGCCTGCTGTCCTCCCGCTGAGCTGGTACCACGTCCCCAGTGTCCTCATGGGGTGCTGGAATCAGGGACCACAACCCCGGTCGGTGAAAGCCAAACAGGGAGGAGCCGAGCCGAGGCTGGGCTGAACTGAGAGAGATGACAGACCATCTTCACAGCACCAAGGCTGGGCGGGGGTGGAGCCGTGGCCGGGGAGGTGCCCACAATCACCATAGTTTGGGAGTTAGTGAGTTCCCACCCTGTAAGGCTTGACACGTAGTTAGTCTTCAGTTCTACAGACAGAACTGGCTTAAAGGGGCAGCATCTCCCAAAACCTGGGCTCTCGGCTGAGCCCCCTCCTCTGAACAAGGCCCCTGCCTGGGACTGAGAAGCTGCAATTCAGCACTCTCAGGGGGCTCAGTGCATGGTTTGGTCCTGATGCAGCGTGGGGATGGAGGAAAGCAGTTCCGCTTTTGTCCAGTCCTGGTCCAGAGAGGGAAAGGGTCACACAGCAAGGAAGGAAAGTAACCAGCAGGTGTGACAGGCATTAAAATGCACTGGAATCTGGGCTGTGAGGGGCGGACGGCTTCCAGTTAGAGGCAGAGGGACTGCACTTGTCAGCACACGCAGGTCCCAGGGTGAGGGTCAGGACCTGGCTGTGCCGCGCCTCACCTCTGCTGGTCCCGGAAGAGGCCAGCCTTGAGGTGATGGAGCTGGGGGGTCCAGGCTGCCATGGGATGCAGGGCTGTGGCTGCGCCCCTCAACCTTTCTCCTCCCGCCTTCCCAGGTGTGCCACAGACCACAATGTAGACAACACCACGGCCATGCTGCGGGAGTGGCTGGCGGCTGTGGGGCACCACTACGCAGCTGTGATCTGGAGGCCCGAGGGGGAGCCCAGGTGTGACTGAGGGGAAGGTGGGGAACAGCTGCCGCCCAGAGGGGACAAGGGGCCGCCCAGAGCTGTGGCCTCCAGGGCAGGAGCCGGGATGCACCTGCCCCAGGACACAGCTCCTTCCTTCACCCTCTCAGGTCCTACCCAGATGAGGGGGGTCCCAAGCACTGGACCAGAGAAAGGCACCAGTTTCTGATGGAGCTGAAGCAGGAAGCCCTGACATTTGCCAGGGACTGGGGTGCTGACTACATCCTGGTAAGGAAGCCTGGTTTAGGATTCGACTGCTGAGCCATGGGTGGTGGAGCATTCCTGTAGTCAGCGCACTTAGAAGGCTGAAGCAGGAGGATTACTGCAAGTTCAAGGCCAGCCAGGGCTGGTGAGACCCTGACAGAAATCTTGGTGTAGGGCCAGATCAGATGTTGAGTGTGGCTTCTGACATTTGAGCTCAGACAGGTACGAAGCTGGGTCCCTGAGCCAGGCCCTAGGGTATATTCTGGGCCTAAATTCCTGGGGTGTGCTCCAAATTTACACTGAGCGCAGGTCTCTGGACTCGCGCTTGCAGGAGGCCTTTGCATCTGCTTGGCCAGCTCTCAGAGACTGTCTTAGATCAGCCACTCAGGTCTGGCCTCAAGGCCCCGTCCCTAGGTAGTGCCCTGGCCTGATTCTGGGTGAGGAGCAGCTCTCCTGGGGGAGGGGGGACTCACGGGAACACCCACTCGGGGCCTTTGGCAGCCTGGAGAGACCCCACCCAGCCAGTTCCTTGGGGGCTGCAGGCCTGTGACATGACATCCCACTCCACAGTTTGCAGACACCGACAACATTCTGACCAACAACCGGACGCTGCGGTTGCTGACAGAGCAGGGGCTGCCCGTGGTGGCCCCGATGCTGGACTCGCAGACCTACTACTCCAACTTCTGGTGTGGGATCACCCCTCAGGTGAGCCGGTCTGGGCCATGGGAGTCTGTGCACCACACAGCAGGGAGCCTGCAGGCTTTGGGGTCTGTGTCCGGGAGCCCTGCAGCCCAGAGCATCCCCTGTCCCCAGGGCTATTACCGCCGCACAGCCGACTACTTCCCCACCAAGAACCGCCAGCGCCGGGGGTGCTTCCGGGTGCCCATGGTCCACTCCACCTTCCTGGTGTCACTACGGGCTGAGGGGACGGCCCAGCTCGCCTTCTACCCCCCTCACCCCAACTACACATGGCCCTTCGATGACATCATTGTCTTTGCCTACGCCTGTGAGGCTGCTGGTGAGGACCCGTGCCCCTTGTGCATCCCTTGAGGCCTCAGGGCCTTTGCTATTTCCTCTGCTCAGCACACCCTTCCCACTGCGTTCTGTCCTGTGCACTCATGTTTGTCCTTCGGGTCATAGCCTTTCCTGAGCCTGTAGTGGATTAGGTGCCCTCATGCATCCCTTCACTAGGCAACCATTTGTGGACCAGCTGGCCCAGGCCAGTCCCCGACCTCCTGGGTCCTCCATTCCAGTCACTCAAATCTGTCCAGTCACAGCTGTGCCAGGAAGGAGAGCTCCTTGATTATAGGTGCTCTGGAAGCTTAGGCTAGAGTTGGCCTGGTCAGGGAAAGCTACCTGGAGGAGGTGAGCTGTTGGTCTGAGGGCTAAAATATGGGCAGATGTTGGACAAGAGCAGGAAAGAGTGTTCCAGACAGAGGGACCAGCAGGTGCAAGGGCCCTGTGGTAGCAGGCAACATGAGCAGACAGGGGACTCCTGGTGTGGTAGCACACACCTATAATCCCAGAACTCAGGAGGGTGAGGCAGGAAGATTGCTGTACTTTGGAGGCCAGCCTGGGTTACACAGTGAGACCTGTCTGTAAAACCAGAGAGGGAGACAGAGGGCAGATGGCAGAGGCACAGTGCCTGTTTATCTTATTTTCTTGGGGTGCTGATCGTCCAACCCAGGGCCTCCAGCGTGCTAGGCGAGCACTGTGACACTGAGCTACACCCCAAGCCTTTTTATTTCTTTATTCAGGAACATGCTAAGCACACACTCTACCACTGAGCCACATGCCAACCAGAGGTATTTTTCAGATGAAAGTTACTACAAAGTGTTTGGTTGTGGGGCCGGGGATTTAGCTCAGTGGTGCTGCCGCCTGCCTCGCAAGCGTAAGGTCCTGAGTTCAGAAAAAAAGAAAAATAAGTGTTTGGTTGTGGATGGGATAAATCCAGTCCTTTGGAAGAGCTGGAGATGAGAGACGGAGTCGAATGTTGGAGTCCCATTCTTTTCTTTTTGAGGCAGGGTCTCATTGTGCAGTCCAGGCTGGCCTTGGACTCACTTTGTATCTCAGGCTGGCCTCGATCTCCTGGCGATCCTCCTGCCTCAGCCTCCTGACTGCTATAGCATGCTATTCTTTTTTTTGGTACCGGGGATCGAACTCGGGACCATGTGCTTGGGAGGCAGATGGCGGAACCACTGAGCTAAGTCCCCGGCCCTATAGCATGCTATTCTTGAGAAGGCCGCAGAGGTCATAATTCAGGACCTGGACCGAGGCTTGGCCAAGGCACTGCAGCCTAGGTGGTGGGTGGAGAGGAACTCAGCTCCCGTTCAGAGTGAGAATGAACCCTGAAGTCTGGGAACCGAGCCAACAGCGTGTTCAGAGGAGTCAGTTCAAGGCCAGCCTGGGGTACATAGCGAGACCGTGTCTCAAAACAAAACAAATAAAATAAAAGTTTAAAAAATAAAAAGAACTGGGAGTGTATCTCAGTACAAAGGCCCTGGGGTTCAGTCTCCAGTACTACCAAAAAAAAAAAAAAATCAAATACACCGTGCGGGCTGCAGGGTAGCTCAGTGGCAGAACACTTGCCCAGTGTGCACAAGGCCCGTAGGAACTGTCCCTTGCACCACAAAAAAAGGAAAGAAAAAGAGGGTGCACACCTGCTCCTGAGGGTGGTTCTAGCACAGGTGACAGATACCGCAGGGAGAAGGACACTGGGCAGCAGGGGGGACAGTGAGGAGGGCACGGTGGGGATGCAAGGGAAGTGTAGGGGCGTGGACAGAAGCCGACAGTCCCCGATTAGGGTAGCACAAGAGACGGGGACCTGGGCTGGAGCCACACGGCTCGGGGGTGGGCGTCCCTCGGCTGCAGTGGGCAGCATCTGCCAGCGCCTTTCTCCCCATCTGCCATGCACAGTGCCGCCCCAGCGCCCTGCAGGAGCCCGCACTGCTCTACCGAGCAGCAGGGTTCCTCAGCCGTCCTCTGTGAGCAGAGTCCTTTGTCACTGCAGCCCACAGGTAGGGCCCGCGTCCCAGAGGAGACTCAGGTTGCCGGGCCCGCCGGGCCCTGGCCCGCTGGCTCTCACTCAGCCTTTCTCTGCAGGCGTCCCGGTCTACGTGTGCAACCAGCACCGGTACGGGTACATGAACGTGGCCGTGGGTCCCCACGAGGGGCTGGAGAATGAGAAGGTCAACTTCATCCACCTGGTCTTGCAGTCGCTAGGTGAGGGCGGGGAGCCTGTTCCGTGCACCTGCTGGGAATAGTGCCTTTCTTCCCTTCTTTAGTTTTTTGAGGATCTCACTATGTAGCTCAGGCTGGCCTTGATCTCATTACGGAGCCCAGGCTGGCCTCGAACTTGTGGTGATCCTCCTGCTCCAGCCTCCTGAGTGCTGGGATGACAGATGTGCACCACCACACCCGGTCGGTGCCCTTTTCTGCTGAGGGGGCAGGAATGGGGGGCTGGGACTCATAATGGGGCGCCTCCCTTTGCAGTGGACGGGCCCCCCATGCAGGCCTCCGCTCATGTGTCTTGGCCCCCGAAGAGGCCCAGCAAGCTGGGGTTTGATGAGGTGAGCGCCCCATCTGTGGGAATGGGCTGGGGGCACGGGCCCTCCCCTTCCTGCCCTCACCCAGCCTCTGGTCCACAGGTCTTCGTCATCAGCCTGGCCCGCAGGCCTGGCCGCCGCCAGCGCATGCTCAGCTCACTCTGGGAGATGGAGATCTCGGGGCGCGTGGTGGATGCCGTGGACGGCCGGTAAGGCTTCCTGGGATCTGGCCGTGGGGTGCTGCGGTCCTGCCCTGAGCTCCTGGAGTGGGCAGAGCAGAGGGCGTCAATGAGCTTCCTGTTCCAGGAGGCGTCCAAATAGGGCCAGAGTGGGCTGGGTGGGGTGGCGCACACTCATAAGCCCAGCATCCTGGAGGCCGAGGCAGGAAGATCCCTGCAATTTCAAAGTGATAGTGAGTCCAAGGCCAGCCTGGACCACATAGTGAAACCTTGTCTCAAAAAACAAAGAAACCAAACAGGGCCTGCATTATGCTGCCTCAGGGAGCTCTGGGAAGACAGGCACAAGAGGAGATGCCCTCCCTCAGGCCACCTGAGGGAGATGGTCCAGTGGGTAAGGCTCCAGGCCTGGGACCCAGGGGTGTCACTTACCAGCTGTGAGACACCAGGCGTGTCACCTGCACCTCTCGGCCCCATTGTGGAAATAGCTGATAACCCCACCTGCTTCTCACGGTTCCCTCTGGGCTCAGTAAGGTTTATTTATTTTTTGTTGGTTTTGTTTTTGTTTTTTGGTACTGGGGATCGAACTTGGGTCCTTGCACTTGCGCAGCAGGCGGTGAAACCACTGAGCTAAATCCCTGGCCCTTTTTTTACAATTTTTTTTTTTTTTGGAGGGCTCAGTAAGATTTAGCCAGACCTGCAGGACACCAGGAAGTCTTAAGGTTGGGTGTCCTCAGTGTTCTCCGCCTCCAATCTGGCCTTTAGTCCCCGGTGTGCAGCCCAGCTGTGTTCTCCCGGGACCTAGCACCAGGTTCCAGGGTCATGTGGCCCACGTGCCTGCCGTTGTTTGCATTAAACCAGAGCAACACCCCCCCCCCCACTCTTGCTGTTTTCCATTCTAGGGATTGAGCCCAGGGCCTTTGCACTGAGCTACACCCCCAGTCCTTTTTTATTTATTTTTTTTATTTTGAGACAGGGTCGTGCTAAGTTGCTAAGTTGCCCAGACTGGGCTGGAACTTTCGATCCTCCTGCCTCAGCCTCCCAGAGTCCTGAGATCATAAGTGTGCCCCACCACTGCTGGCTTCCCAGCTCTTTGGACTTCGGGATGTCCATGTTGTGGTTGGGACTCTGCCCAAGAAGTCTTCCCATGTCGCCCACATCCATCCTGGGGCCCCCGTTAGCCCTGCCCGCCCACCTCCCCTTTTCCTGAGGCTTCTGAGGTGGCCACGGTTCCCCAGGTCCAGTCGCTGACAGCTTCTGGCCACATGAAGGAGCCACAAAGCTGAGACCTCCTTCAAGCTAGACTCAGGTGCGACTGTCTCCGACACGTGCAGGTCAGGCTGTCTGGAGGGGTCTCGCCAGCACATTTCACCATTGTCCCCTTGTCCCACAGGATGCTCAACAGCAGCATCCTCAGGAGGCTGGGCGTGGACCTGCTCCCTGGCTACCAGGACCCCTACTCGGGCCGCACACTGACCAAGGGCGAGGTGGGCTGCTTCCTCAGCCACTACTCCATCTGGGAGGAGGTGAGGACGCCCTTCTGGGGGCAGAGGCTGAACCAGGGCCAGGCCCGGGCCGGAGTGTGTTCAGGAGCAGACACGGGAGGCCTGGGGCCTGGCAGGCCCTCAGCACTGTGGGGCCTCCACCAGGGCCTGGGGACTCGAGTGCCGGGGAGAGAACGGCCCCGCAGAGGGCACAGAGCTGAATCCTGTGTGCGCTTTCGAGTGTGTTACTGCAGGGAAACCCAGGACCTCACACATGCTAGGCAGGTACTCTACCAGGGAGCTGTAACCCCAGTCCTTTTACATTTCTGAGACTGGGTCTCACCAAGGTACTGGCCTCAGTCTCACAATCCTCCTGCCTCAGCCTCCTGAATAGCTGGGATTATAGGCAAGAGCCACCATACCTCCCTTTACTCCTTGTTTTTATTTTCTCCTTGTCTTTATTTTTATTTTATTTGTTTATTTGTTTTTTTGGCACTGGGGATTGAACTCAGGACCTTGCAGTTCCGAGGCAGGCGGTGCCACTGAGCTAAATCCCTGGCCCTTTTATTTTTATTTTATATGTGCATGTGTGTGAGCTTATGTTTGTACTTTTTTTATTGTCTCCAAAATTGAAGGATGACATAGTTCACCTTTACTGAATGGATTTCATGTTATTTTCACACCTGTAATCCCAGCTCTCAGGAGGCTGAGTCAGGAGGATCACCGTCAGTTCGAAGCTACATAGTGAGTTCAGGGACACTGTGAACTACATAACAAGACTGTCTCAAAAAAACCCAAAAGGGCTGGGGTGTGGCTCAGTGTCACCATGCCCACCTGGCAAGCACAAGATCCTGAGTTAGATCCCCCATGCCAGGAAAAAAAAAACACACAAAATTACAAAAAGTATTTTTCCCTGGGGGTGGCGGGGCTTGGTCCTCCCCCAGTCCCACCAGCCCAGCTTCCTTTGAGATGCTCAGAAGGGCCAAGCGTTTGATCCTGGAGCTCAGCAGTAAGGTTGAAGTCCCGGCCCCGCCACTTCCTGCCATGTGCCATGGATGAGCCACTGTCCGTCCCCCATATGACTTTTCCTGCCCTGGCATCCAGTCGCCTTCAGTGAGTGGAGCAGGGCAGTGGCGTCCACCATGATTATCTGGAGAGCTGCGCTGGGGCCTGAGCGGGGTCTGGGACTTCAGTCGATGGGCAGTGGAAGGCCGGGCGCTGTGTGGCGTGGCCAGGGCTGAGCACAAGGAGCCTTGTTGAGCCAGGCAGAAGCCAGCAGTAGGCAGGTGGGAAGGGGCACTGCAGATCTGCAGAGCCATCTCTCACCCTGTCGGGACCACAGGTGGTCGCCAGGGGGCTGGCCCAGGTCCTGGTGTTCGAAGACGACGTCCGCTTTGAGAGGAACTTCCGGCAGCGGCTGGAATGGCTGATGGAGGAGGTGGCCGTGCAGAAGCTGGAGTGGGACCTGATGTAGGCTGCCTGCACCCAGAGCAGGGGAGGGGTGGAGAGTTGGAGGAGCTGCACTGACCAGAGGCCCTTGGTGTCGCAGCTACCTCGGCCGGAAGCAGGTGAGCCCTGAAGAGGAGGTGGCCGTGGAGGGGATGCCGGGCCTGGTGGTGGCCGGGTACTCATACTGGACGCTGGCCTATGCCCTGAGCCTGGCGGGTGCCCAGAAGCTGCTGGCCTCGCAGCCCCTTCGCCGCATGGTGCCTGTGGACGAGTTCCTGCCCATCATGTTTGACCGGCACCCCAAGTGAGCCTGGGGCAGGGCGGGCCCTCGGGGATCCCCTCCCTGGGCAGGTTACGGAGTAGCCTCGGAGTCAGACTTGGGGAGGTGGGAAGGCTGCGGCGCCTGTGTGGCTTTTATTTTAATATTTCTTTCTTTCTTTTGGGTTTTTTTTGGGGGGGGGTACCGGTGATCGAACTTGGGTCCTTGCGCTTGCGCAGCAGGCGGTGAAACCACTGAGCTAAATCCCCGGCCCTGGGGGTTTTGTTTTGAGACAAAGTTTCGCTGTGTAGCCCAGGCTGCCCTCGAATTCATGGCGATCTTCCTGCCTCAGCTTCCCAAATGCAGCGATCACAGGCATTGTGGCACCACACCTGGCTGCATGGTCTTTAATTTGATAACTTCCTTGTTCTGAGCCTGTTTCTTTACATGGAAAACGGGCATCAGAGAAGTCCCACTTGTCAGGGCTGTTGTGAGGAGCCCTGGGGCCTGGGTTATCCGCACTGTCCCTCCCACCCCTTCCCACAGTGAGCAGTACAAGGCGCACTTCTGGCCGCGGGACCTGAAGGCCTTCTCTGCCCAGCCGCTGCTCGCCGCCCCCACCCACTATGCAGGGGACACCGAGTGGCTCAGTGACACAGAAACATCTTCTCCTTGGGACGACGACAGTGGCCGCATCATCAGCTGGACTGGCTCTCAAAAGACCCTGCGCGACCCCCGCCTGGACCTGGCAGGAAGCAGGGGGCACAGCCTCCAGGCCCACCCCCGGGACGAGCTCTAGGTGCAGCCAGGACTGCAGTCCGGGGCCTGGGCCTACCCGGCTCTGACTGGGCTGTAGCGGGTCTGCTTCCAGCTCTGCTTCCTCCTCCGCCTCTGCCTCATTTCTGTCCTTAGCTGTCTCCCTCTCCAGGTCCCTGGCTGTTGCTCTATCTGATTGCATCAGGTCCTCTTTCTCTTCCCATCCAGGCGTCCACTTCAGCAAGTCCCTTCGCTGGGCCTCTGGATGTCCTGCCCCTCAGGGTCCCTGTCCCACCAGGCCAAGTGATGCCTCCGGAGGAGACTGACTGCTGGCAGGAGCCAGGGAGCCAGCAGAGGACTGGCTGTCACCTTAGGCTTGGCCCCATCTTAGTCAGGAGAAACCACTCAGAGACACATCCCCGTCCCTTCCGGGGTCACACGGCCAGAAGGCAGGGCGCACTCAGGGTGGAGGGCAGGAGGTGGCTCCTCAGCCTTCATGCAAGCTGGGCACACTGGGGCCTGTCCTACCTGAGGACACAGAAGCCGGGTCCCTGCCCTCTCGACCTCCCCTCTTCCCCTCCCTGACTCCAGGCTGTCTCCTGGGACCTCCTCCCCAGCCAGCGGGAATTTCAGGGAGTGGGGTGGACTGGCAGGCTGTGGCTGGCACACAGTAGGCCCTCAATAAAAGCCAGCTGCATTTGCACTTTACACTTTGTACCCACAGGGTCGGCCTCTCTTCATCTCAACTGGCCTGGCATGGCACCTTGCCCACCTGGGGTAGCACTGGGATCGGAGGGAGGGGGGCAGCGGAGGAGTCAGACCTGCCCAGCCCCACCTCTGTGCCCAGTGATTCTGGGGGGATTCGTTGCCCTGGGCCTTCCCCCTCCCTTTGGTAGATTGAAAGTAGGAAGGGTGGTGGTGACCGCCAGTAATCTCGGCACTCGGGAGGCTGAGGCAGGGCTACATAGTGAGTCCGAGGTCACCCTGAACAACCTAGCGACCCCCTGTCCAAAAAACAAACAAACAAAAAAGAGTGAGAAGTAGCTCAGGGGCTTCGTGGGTGTAAAGGGGCTGGGCGGCAAGGACTCAGCTGCTGACGCTGACGTGGCCATGGATGTCACTGCCGGCCTCACCTGCTAGTCGGAGTGGGCGCCCGCCAGACCCAGGGCTGCTGATTCCAGCCACCCTTCGCCCTTGGGGTCTGCACCTAGCAGCTGGAACCTGAGTTTCTGCCGGGAAGCCTTAGGGGGGATGCAGGGTTCCCCTCGTGGCCCTAACCGGTGGTGCCACCAGAGGGCGCCAGACGATAGAGCCGGAACCTTGTAGGTCAGGGCGCCCCGCGTCGGTACGGCCGACGCGGAAGTGAGCGTGGGGCGTTTGGGACCTGCATAGCCTCCCCCGCAGAAGCGGAGATTGCTCTCTCCGGGGTCCGGGCCCGCGCCTGACTCCGAAGGATGCGCTTGGGCAGCTGGGGTGGCCAGGGTTCGGCCTTGGCGGGGGCCTCCAGGCTTCGCTCTTTGGAGGAGCCGCTTTCCCGCCCTTCACCTCGGCTGTGTGCGCGCGCCCAGTCCTGGTCCAGGCATCCCTGAGGTGGGGCTGTACCTGGGCTCCACCGCTGTGAGAGGACTCTGGGCCCGAACGGTGGGCTTGGTGCCTTGTTCCAAGAATTGAAGTCATCAGCCTCGCGTGGTGGCGCACACCTGTAATCCCAACACCCAAGAGGCTGAGGCAGTAGGATCTTGAGTTGGAGGCCAACCTGGGCTACATAGGAGGACCTGATCTAAAAAAAAAAAAAAGCCAAGTGGGCCGGGGATTTAGCTCAGTGGTTCCGCCACCTGCCTCGCAAGCTCAAGGACCCAAGTTGGATCCCCGGTACCAAAAACAAAACAAACAAACAAAAGCCAAGTGTGGTGGCACACGCCTGTATTCCCAGCACTAGGGAGGCTGAGACAGGAGGATCTCCCTGAGTTCAAATCTACATAGGGAGACCCTGTCTTAAAGAAAACAAAAAAAGTCATTAATTTTGGTTTACTGTGACCTTGAGTAAGTCATGTCTTCAAGTGTTTCCTTCAGTTGGCATTGATTGAGCCCCTTCTCGGGACTAGGAACAAGCACTGGGTACTCAGCAGTGAATAAAACTGGTCCAGATGGGCTGGAGGGGCATGGCCCTGGGTCCATCCCTGACTTTAGGCTCTTAAGTGCTACTGAGGGGAGATGAGGAAGGGAAGATCAGCAGGTAAAATCTGGTAAGTCAGTGTCTGAAGGAGACTTGCAGAAAGTGACTGAGCAGACAGACAGAGCATGCCAGAGGGATGCTGGGAAGAAGAGCACAGCAGGAGAGGAAACAGCATGGACAAAGGTCTTGTGGCAGAGGCAGGGCAGGCCAGGGAGATAGCCAGGAGGCTGATATGGCTGGACCCCAGTGAGGAGGAGGAGCCGGTGTCTGGAGATAGTGACCCCGGGTCCGGCTAGTGCAGAGAGGGCCTGGAAAGCCGTTTGGGGTTTTATTCAGAGATGGAGCCACTAGAGGCTTGGGGCTCCACCTTCCAAATAGCTGGGTAACAGGCAGGCCCCACCACGCCCGGCTGGCTGACATTTTTATTCAATCATCCCAGCAGAAGCACAGCACGACCCAACAGTTACACGCGCACACTGACTACTGTACTGAGAACAAACCTTAGGTGGGTTGGGGCCAGAACCCAGGAGACACGTGAGACACCACTGTACTAATTCAGCAGGCACCGTTGGGCCCAGGCCAGGAAGTGCAGGGCGTGAGAAGACTGAGCTGACAGTTTCAAGCGGAGAGGAACTGCAGATGCTGCTGACAGCTTTCAGATGCAGGCTGAAGAACAGAGCTTTCTTTAGCTGAAATGGGGAAGAGTTGGGATGCTGCAGGTGAGCGGGTGACCGACACCTAGCAGGGGATGGTGAGGGGTGGCTAGACACAAACACCTGGGATGTGGGGGACCGGCTCCAGCTGGAGATGGGAGCTTGGAACCCTTGCACTGGTCCTGAGGTCCAGGCCCCAAGCACGTTGCCCATGGGGCTCCTGGGGAGCCTGTTAAAGCACTGCTTCCTGCCTCTCCCACCCCTCCGCAGGTGGTTGTGGGTGAACACAGCCACCCCAGCTCAGGGAACCCAAACAGCTGGCAACCTGAAGCCCATCCCCTTCAGGCCAATGTAGCAGTAAGGCATAATTTACATCCAGAAGCCCACCTTGGTGGAGCACGGCTGTCACCGAAGCACTCAGGAGGCTGAGGCAGGAGGATTGCTACCAGTGAAGGCCAGCCTGAACAACAGAGGGAGACTGTCTCAAAAAGCAAACAAAAACTAATTTATGGCCAGGGATTAAGCTCAGTGGTTCCACCACCTGCCTTGCAACCACAAGGACCTGAGTTCAATCCCTGGTACCGAAAAAAAAAACAAAAAAAACCCCATTAATTTATACGCAGTAAAAATTTCCCTTCCGTCTGACCAGTGTGCACAGTCCTGTCACCACCACTCGGGAAGGCCTAGAACTGGCATCTGGAATGTCTTCCTCTCCCCAGGAAGGTCCCCCTGCCCTCACTTTGCAGTCAGTTCCTTCCTCCTCCCAGCCCCCTTGAGCCACAGATTTGGTTTCTGTCCCTGTGGTTTTGCCATTGTTCCCAAACCATCGCAGGAATGAGACTGTGTAGCACCTGGCCTCTCAAGTGTTCCATCCACCATGGTGCTTTTGCAGCCATTGGTCCATTCAGGGTCTCCTTGCTTCTCACGACCGTGTCCCTCATATGGGTTGACCACAACTTACTTATTTATCCATTGATCAGGGTTATATATTTGAGTTGTTTCCAGTTAGGGGCTGTTATGAATAAACTCCTGTGAATAGTTGGACACAGGTCTTTGTGTGGACATAAGTTTGCATTTCTCCTAGGCATGTGGAGGTCACCTGCAGTCCCAGCACTCTGGTGGCTGAGGCAGGAGAATCGCTGACTGTTTGAGGCCAGCCTCAGCTATATAGTGAGTTCAAGGCCAGCCTGGGCTACTTAGCAAGACCCTGTGTCAAAAAACCAAAAATAGCAAAGTAAAACAAAACAAGAAAGTAAAAGAGACGGGCCCCACTTTGGAGCTTGGATTCCTTCTCCCCAGGGCAGGGCTGGGGAGATTGCATCAGGTCCTGGAGGAATTGTTCCTGGATGGAAACCAGCAGTAATCAGGCCCTTGGGCAAATGGAGAGGCCAGAGCCTGAGCCTGGAGGCCCTTGGCACCCCCAGGACCGTGGCACCTAGAGCAGACAGTTGTGCAGGCTAGGGCCGGTGCTGGGCCCACAGCTCCTCTTTCACCTGTGGTTATTTCTAAGCAACAAGACAAACCCAAGTTCCTTGTGACAATTTAGAAAAACAAGTAGGAAAATAAAATCACTTGCTTTATTTAAGACAAGGTCTCACTTTGTATTTCAGGCTGGCCTTGAACTTGCAGAGATCCTCCTGCCTCAGCCTGCTGAGGGCTGGGATTACAGGTGTGTGCCACCACTGATGGCTATAAAATTACTATTGTTACCATCTTGAGACAGAGGGGCTGAGGATGCATAGACACTTGCCTACCATGCTTGAAGCCCTGGCACCTTCCATCCCCAGCACCACAGAGTCATATAAAACACACCTTGAAAAAAAAAAAGACACACTGGGCTGGGGATTTAGATCAGTGGTGCTGCTGCCTGCCTCACAAGCTCAAGGTCCTGGGTTCAATCCCCAGTACCAAAAAACAAAAAAAACACACCAATGACTGCCACCCAAAACTCATTTATGACCTGCATTTCTCCCCCATCCCACGCCTAAACACAATAAATAGAGTTAGAGTTAGGAGGGGAATAGGGTGAAGGACACTTCCAATACACAGAGCCAATCAGAAAAGTGCTGTTTTCAATCCTTCAATTGAATTTGGTGCTCTACACAGGACCAATCACAAGATGCTCTTTTTAATCCTTCATTTGCATGTGGGCACAACCAATCAGAAGACACTGTTCCTGATTCTTCATTTACATATAGCTGCCAGCCACTGGGGCTTTTGATAGGACAGTTTACACAGGATGTAAGGCTAAGTGAGTGTTTCATAGGGAGACTGCCTTCTTTGCGTGAGAAGGAGATAACCTGGGATTTTTTTTGAGACAGGATCTCACTATGTAGTGGAGGCTGGCTTTGAATTCCTGAAGATCCTTCTGCCTCAGCCTCCTGAGTGTCGGGACTGCACATCCGCACCACCACATCCGGCTACCTTTCCCCATTCCTTGAGTCTCTCACCCACTTGGGTCAGGTGGGTTCTTGATTTTCCAAGGGAATGTCAGGGAGGAGCACAGAACAGAAAGAGAGTATCTCTTTGTGGTGTAATTCTGTACATCTTGATTATTTACTTAAAATGTGTGCAAAGTTGTGAAATTTCTGGATCGGAGATGTTTGTCTCTAAGAGTTTTAAAGGTTACATTAAAACAAAAGGGGATCCTGGGCCAGGGATTTAGCTCAGTGTTGCTGCACCTGCCTCACAAGCACAAGGTCCTGAGTTTGATCCTGGGTACCAAAAAACAAAAAACAAAGGTTTCCCAAAGGTCCCATCAACTTTTAACCTACAGCGGTATTTGAGACTGCTTGCCTCCCAGTGTCCATCACTAGGCTGCTATTGCCCTGTAGGAAAAAGTGGCGAGGGCCTGGGGAGAAATTCAAGTGTAGAACAAGCCTTTTGCATGCCCAAGGTCCTGGATTTGATTGACAGCCCTGGTAAAAGAAGAAGAGAAAAAAAGTGGACAAAAACATAGGTCAAAAATGATTTCTTAGCCCAGTGTGGTGGAGCACATCTGTAATCCCAGCACTCAGGAGCCTGAGGCAGAAGGAGCACTGAAAGTTTGAGGCCAGCCTGGGCTACATAGTGAGTTCAAGACCAGCCTGGACTACATAGCTAGACCCTGTCTCAAAACAACAACAAAAAGCCACAATGTGTCTATAAATTGGACCTGTGCTTTTCTTCCAAGATTTCTACCCTCAAGGAAACAGCACTATGAATTGGGTGCCATATCTTTAAACTTTAAACACAGGCTGTCTTTGTTACTTTTCTCCTTACTGAGACAAAATATACAACATATACAAGTTAAAGGAGGAAAGGTTTATTTCGGCTCACAGTTTGTAGAGATTTCAGTCTATAGTCAGCTGGCTCCAAGGCAGGGCAGCATGGCAGAGGGGTATCGCATAGGAGAAACAGTCCATAGCAGAGCAGGTAGGGGCAGGGAGCAGCAGCAAGCCTCCATGTGTCTTTATCCATCCAGGCCACAAACTTACTGGATGGGGCCACCCACATTCCAGGTGGGCCTTCCCGTTATCCATACCCAGAGCCATACTAAACCAATCAGTGGACTAATTTAATACCATACATCCTTAATCACAGTATCACACACCCTTAATATCCCAGTATTGCCTGAAAAGCCCCACCTGTGAGTGCCTGAGACTTTGAGTTGACATCTACATATAAGCCATAATATATGCAAATTTTTTTTTTTTTTTTTTTAAAAACAAAGTCTCATTGTGTAGTCCAGGGTGACCTTGAACTCACTAGCGCAGCTGGCCTCAAACTCACAGTGATCCTCCTGCCTGGGCCTCCAGGGTGCTGGGATGACAGGAGTATGCCACCACATCCACACCCACACCCGGCAATTGTTTGCATTTTTACCTAGCCTACTAATGGGTGACCTGACAGGCACTGGGAGTACAAATCTGTCTTGAAAACAGTCCCACAAAGCCATGTAAATATCCCCAGCCCCAGACCACAGTGTATTTTACCCTTGAGTTCCTGGACCCGGGGATGTTAAAGACGAGGATGGCTTTATTTTCCTCTATGAAAAAAAAAAAAAAAAAAAGGAGTTGAAGTACGGGATGGGAAAATGGCACAGGCTGGGAAAGCCACTATCAGGAGGGGTCTAGGGACAAATAGAGTAATTGTTGTGCAGTATCCAGGGATCAGCTGAGGGTGGAGGCAGTGATTTGAAGATTTTTTTTTTAGCAGAACGCACCTTGTACCTAGTGTGTCTACCACCGAGCTACACATCCATAGCCCTTTTTAAAATTTTTCATTTCGAGGGCTGGGGATTTAGCTCAGTGGTTCTGCCACCTGCCTTGAAAGTGGAAGGTCCTGAGTTCAATCCCCAGTACCAAAAAAAAAAAAAAAATTTTAATTTCAAGCCGGAGATTTAGCTCAGTGGTGCTGCCACCTGCCTCGAAAGTGCAAGGTCCTGAGTTTGATCCCTGGTACCAAAAAAAAAAATTTTTTTTCATTTTGAGATGAGGTCCCACCATGTTGCCTAGGCTGCCGCAAACATGTGATACTCTGGCCTCTCAAGTAGCTGGTGCGATTGTTGGCCTTGGCAGAACCTCAGATGGCTGGGTTTTAAGACAGATTGGGGGCTGGGGATTTAGCTCAGTGGTTTCGCCACCTGCTGTGCAAGCACAAGGACCCGAGTTCGATCCCCGGTACCAAAAAAAAAGACAGATTGGGGATATTGTCACCAGATAGGGCCTGAGGACTTCCCCCAAAGAAGAAATGGTGATGCAACTTGAGCCACCAAATATGCTCTTGACTCATCACAGAAAAAGAATCTCAGAAAGAGGCAGTGATATTGGGCATAGTAGCACACACCTGTGATCCCAGCACTAGGGAGGCTGAGGCAGGAGGATTTGGAGAGTCTGAGGCCAGACTGGGCTACATAGTTCAAGACCAAGACCCTGTCTCAAACCCCCCTCCCCGAGATGGATGATCTAAGAGGTTTTGCCTAAAACATCTGTTTGAATCTGTTTCTTCATTTTTTGTTGTTGTTTTTTGGGGGTTTTTTTTGTTTCTTCATTTTAAGGTCAGGTTGCTGCCCTTTACTGTATCAACTAGGTTAACTTCCAGATTTATAGTACCTTTAAGGGATTTGGTATGGTGGACTTGGAAGAAAAAACCAAATTAGCCCAGGGGGTAAAGATATGAAACACGTGTATGGATCGCCTTGGGTAACTTTGTGTGTTTGAGGGGCTTCTTCTTTTTTTTTGGTACTGGGGATCGAACTCGGGATGTTGTGCATGGGAGGCAGGCAACAGAACCACTGAGCTAAATCCCAGGCCCAAGTTGGGGGTTTTTGTGGGGCATGGTTGCACATGCCAATAATCCCAGCACTCAGGAGGCTGAGGCAGGAGGATTGCTTCGAATTTGAGGCCATCCTAGGATACATAGTGAGTTCAAGGCCAGCCTGAACTGCATAGTGAGACCCTGTCTCAAAAATAAACAACAACA